CACGTGTCCCATATGATGTAAGACTGGATAGCGTATTTGCCAAAATCTTCCACAAACACTGCACTTAATAAATAGCCTTCAAATACTATTACCAAGAACAAATATTAGGGTGAATGGAGGAACCATAGAATAAAATATTTAAAATATTTTAATCTCTTTGGTTTGCACAGAGCAAAACCTGGGGTGTCATTTTTACACAAGTTAATAAAATCATGTCCTTAAATGCTAAATGGTAAGGAACTCCTATCCACAAAACACATATTTTAATAAAATTTGACAAGTAGAGGGGCTTAATCCTTTCACTTAAACTGCCCACTCTGAAATCATAATCATTTTTATATCTTATGTATTGCACAGGCAATACATATTATTTCTTTTAAAACCCAGGGATAAATGTATGTAGGAATTCCAAAACAAGACTAGAAATGAATTTGAAATAACCATTGACAAAACCTGGACACTCACAACAACTTAAAATCTCCAGTGGTGACAAAAGTAGATAGATAGATTCATATGACAAATGATACAGTCTACATTACTTCAGCTAGCTAAACATAACAATGAAAATGAGGAACTTAAAAGGTTAGGAAAATGGCAGAGCCATTATTTTCAGATACTGTACTGCCTTCTCGAAAAACAGCTGATGCCTGAGCATAGTCAGCAGGTGAATTCAATACCACTAATCATCCAAAAAGTTTGTGTTTAGTTTTATGACAAAGAGAACGGGAAAATAATTTACCTTCTGTATACACAGGCATCATAAACTCTCAGAAATATGTTTTAAGAAAACATTAACAAAGTGATACTGTCAAAATGCTGTTTTGTTTAGAAATTAAAAAATACTTAAGACTACATTACTATAGTTTATGAACATCTAGACATTTTGTAACATAATGAGGTCTAGACTAATGCAGTAGTACAGAGGTTGGGAGGCTGAGGCCAGAGCACCATAAGTTCAAGTCCTGCCTGGCAACTCAGTGGGACCCTGTGTCAAAAAAATTAAAGAGGCACAGCTCGGTGGTGTGGTGACCTTGAGGTCAATTCCCCAGTAGTCAAGAAAAAACAAAAGTATACCAAATGAAAGTAGTTCAGTTAATCTGGTAAAATTTTAATAATTTCCCTAACATTCTTACTTTACCTTCAGTAGACTTGAAATATGTAATCTAACTTATTATTCTACAACTTACCTTTATATTCCACACCTAATCTCAACATTAAACGTATAGGAAAAACCTTTGCCCAAGGAATTTCCAGCTTCTGGATAAGAATTCCACACAGAAAAGGGCTGCTGGGCAATGGGAGATCATCCAGTTTCTGAACAGTAGGTGTAATAAATAGGACTCCTCCATGATCCTTGCTGTTGAGAAAACTCTCAGTAAAGGTAACACTGTCCAAGTTTTCTATGTATTTTCCTGGAAATAAGGTTAATAAAAAGACTTTAAGTTCTTTTATTATATTTCAGATGTCCCAGTGTAAACCAAAAGCATTGCACCATTTTATTTTCTTATTTCTATTTCAAAGACGCATCTATTTAATACATTCTGTGTGCAGAATTACAGTTACTGCTGGATACTGGGGACTGGGAACAAAACTTTGAAAATGTTTTCAACCACAGATGCCTTAAATTTTTTCTCCTTCCTGCATGATCATAAGAAAATTTATCATTGCCAAGAATTTAGCTTAGTGGTTCTGGCATCTGCCTTGCAAACATAAGGACCCGATTTTGATCCCTGGTACCAAAAAAAAAAGAAAGAAAAAGAAAAAGAAAATTTATCATGTGCCCAATATGGTACAGACGGTAAGAACAGTACATAGATATATTTTAAAATTAAGGCATTAAATATATATATATTTCTTTTTTAAAATTAAAAAAATCTGTATAATCACTAATTACATAAAATGCTAGTTTAAAAGGACACTAAAAATGATGAATAACCTCTTTTAAGCAATCAGAATTCTGTTCACAAAGTGAATCTGCAAGGTGGCAGACCAGACCACAGGTGCCTTCACTGATCCACCCCTTCTTCCCCTGGACAGTTCGAAGCCAGAGCTGTACCTCTGAGCGCATCCCTGTATATGGTGAGGAACAGCCGGAAGATGTCCTTGGGGACTGTGTCTTCATTTGGCAAACACAACAACAGAATAATAATCTCTGCCTGTCCAAGGCCATGCAATCCATTGGTTGAGAAGTACCAGTATTTATCTGACGAATCTGAGCAATAAAAGCATACACTTATAAATGCCAACTTCTGTTAATTGAAGAAACTAAACACCATTTCTTCATAAAGCACTTTTCAAACCCTTACTTTCCCTAAATTCTCTTCATAAAAACCTTAAATTGAACTGTGTAAGATTCACCTAAGAAAATAAAAAGGACTATCTTACGGAGTGAAATAACAGTACTAAAAAAAAAAAAGCAGTAACACACCAAATGCAGTGTGTCAAAAATTACATTATTTTCTTAGCAAAGGCAGAGTTTGTACACACATCACTGAGTAGAAGGGATTGTTTCCTTACTTTCAATTACACCACACTCACTGTTTTTATTACTGCTAAGTAAGTCATGATTGTTGCTTATCTCATTTACCAAAGTTCAATTTAGCTATAGGAAGTAGTCAATCACACAATACCCATGACATATTCCTCAGCTGTGAGCCCATGATCTGAGCTAGGATGCTGCTGAGAATCTGTAAACTCACGGCAAGCTCCACTGGATGCACACCTGAGAAATTATTGTGCAGTTTATTTGGCCAAAAAGCCAGCATCAAATTTTGCTTATTTCCCCTTATCTTTCAGTCAAAATCTGATTTGAAGATATAAGTACTTTAGAAATCCTGCTTAGTAATTAAGAGAAGAAAGACAAATCATTACTTACAAAATATTAATCTGACATTCACAAGCAGATTCGCGTTTAAGACAAAGGTGGCAGGAGGAGATCCTTCACTCTGAAGCAGCGAACTGATCTGCTCAGGAGATGGATGCTCTTCTACCACAGGCGCTAAACAGAAGTAAAATGCTAATCAAGACCAATATCGAGCTGTGTATGCATACAATGAAACAAACCCACACGTGTGTGGCTACCAAAGACTCGATCAAGTTCAAAAAACCGAAGCAACCAGGCTTCGTAAAATCAACTAACGTCCTGTATAACTGTTATACACTCATTTTTTACTTTCCTATCCAGAATAGATTTTAATACTGTAAAACATGAATTTGACATATTATACTGTAGATGGCATGTACACAAAACACACTGATTAAGTAGCACAATTATAAAATTTTAACACTTTCAAAGCTTTAAAATATTTTTGTCAGAAGTGGATTCTACTTTGTTGGTCACACCAATTCTGCCTTCTGAAATTTACAAGTCTGAGACAACCTAAACCCAAGATATGCTCGCTGCTGGTTTCTACCTGTCTATGTCAGTGACAGATGCAACAAATAAAACTACAAAAAACAAAAGCATGGCAACCAATATGCAAAAATCAAAGCTTCACAAACCTTGGTCAGGAAGCTGTGCTGCTGAACTGCTCCTCAGGACAGAACAGAGACCCTAAGCACCAATGACTCCCTACATTAACGACTACGCGGAGGGCCCCGGGCCCTGCATCAGGACCAGTGGAAGGCCAAGGTGGCAGGTGTCTCTCCCAGGACACTCTGGGTGAGAGCGGGCCACACAATCTCCAGCTTAAAGAACTTAGTGATCATGAGGAACAAAAATCCCCCCCTTTTTTGTGGTACTGGCAACTGGATCCAGGGCCTTCACACAGAGCTGCATCCCCAGAGCTTTTATTTTATTTATTTATTTTTTTGTTTGTTTTTGGTACCAGGGATCGAACTCGGGACCTTGAGCTCACAGGGCAGGTGCTGGAACCATTGAGCTAAATCCTCGGGCCCAGAACTTTTTTATTTTATATTTTGAGACAGAGTCTTGCCAAGTTGTCCAGGCTGGGCCTGAACCTGCAATCTTCCTGCTTCAGCCTTCCAGAGCGCTGGATTATAGGTGTGTACTGCCATGCCTGGCTAAAATTCCTGGTTTTGTCAATATTCTTTTTCTTTGGGTATTTGTCTTCTTTAGGAAAAAGACACAGAGTCAAAATGCTAATATAGTAGGAACATTTCTGAAAGTCTGAGTTTCCTACTGTATTGGATTTTGACTCATTCTAAATTAGGGACACAACTTTGATAAATCACAAAAGTTCAAATTCTTTAGAATTTACTTTTACTTAACAACTTTTTTTCAAATAATGTTATAAAAAATTGTCTGAGCTGGGCATGGTGGCGCTCACTTGTAATCCCAGCACTCAGGAGGCTGAGGCAGGAGGAACTTTGAGAGTTCGGGACCAGCCTGGGCTAATAGTAAGTTTCAGGTCAGTCTGAACTACATAGTGTCCACACACACACACACACAACCCAAATTCGTCTAAGCTATAAAAAAATGCTTTGCAGTCAAAAAATTCATCAGTACCTTCTTTCTAAAAGCATTCTCTTTAAATTTAAAATAGCTGCTCTCCTACCTGATCCCTGTCCTCCAGAAGCACACAGAAGTGGGGGCAAACCATGCTCATCGTCAGGTAAGAGACTGATCTTCCTGCTAATGTGCCTGTCAACATGACACAGTAACCCATAATCTGAAACACCAGCCACGGGTAAAATGCTGTTAACTGTGACATCCAGAGAATCGGATGGTGCCTCAATTTCTGCAAAAATATCATCATCCAGGGAAAGAGAAGCAGTAGGTAACTCATCAGTTCCTGTGTTCGCCGGCAGTTTTTCCACAGATGGCGCGTGGCAAATAAGACTCCCAGTGCTCTCGTTTCTTGAACTGTCTCCTAGCTTACTGTTTGGTTTCTCCACAGTGGCAGAACAGGCAGGATCCACTGTGTCTATCACCTGTAAAATACGGAAAAAATATTAAATAAGTTCATGCTATCTGTTCAATCACAATGTTCATCTCAGTAGCAAGTGTATCTTTTTAATCAGAGTATTTAAAAACCAGAATGGGCTCATAAATTTTACAGTCATATTTCCCAAGAAACAGTACCATCTTGGTGCTCTGAGTTCCCGAGTCAATGGCATTAAGGAGCACAGGGTTTGCTCTACTGCATACTCAGGAAGGCATTACTGACTGTAGTATCATACACTTGAAAAGAGCAAGATGCTGGGGGCCCTGTTCTGAACACAGTGAACAACTCAGTTCAACTCAAGGCCCTCCTCATCCATGACGGGTAGGGAGGGAAGCGGCTAGGAACAGATACATCGAACAGGAGCAGCAACCACCTACAATAAGTACCGACCAAGTACGCGTCAGTAACTAGCCAGAACCAATGTTAGATGAAAAGCACTCGTGAGCTCAAGTGGTATCTACTAGCCTGTTTAGAACTTTCATCCTGCTGAACTGGTGACGCGAGTGGCAGCTAGGTAAGGAACATACTGGCTCAGGAACTCCCATGTACAAATGCCATGTATGGTGCATCTTCTGTTTAAACCTAGCACATTTGCACAAATACAAGCATGACTATACCCACCAGATACTTTTCTGAATGTCTGACAAAAACTCAAATCACTACTAGTCTAAGTTACTACACCTCAGTTACACTTCTCTACAGCAGGGGCTCTTGAAATATGGTCCAGAGATCTCTGGGTCCCCAGGATCTTCTCAGGGAACCTATGAGACCCTAGGATTGTCTTCATAGAATACAAACAACATACCAAAGCACTCAATGGAGAAGCCAATGTGAGACTGTCTTCTACTAAGTTACACGTTAAAGAAATCTACAAGGGTCAGGGTATACCTCCGTGGTAAAGTGCTTGTCTGGTATGCTTGTGGCCCTCGGTTTAATCCCCAACATCACAAAAAAAGGAACAAAATTACAAAAGCATACAATAATGTAATTCTTATTAAACTGTTTGGTTTTAAAAATATTATTTTTCCTAAAAACATTATTTCTACTAATGTTATAGATTTATTATTTTTAAGTTACATGTTTTTAATTTTGTCAATTTTAATTTTAAATATACAGTAATCATCAACAGGTAAAATCCACATAACTTTTAGTTCTTAGAAGTCTTCATTATCTCTTAGAAGAATATAAAGGAATCCTGAGACAAAAAAGTTTGAAAATCATTGCCTTAAACTAATATGAAAGGAAAAGGTGAAATCTAAAATAACACTCACTAATCCATAACACACTCCTCAGGGACACTGTGGGTTCAGTCCCGATCGCTGCAGTGAGGCTCAGTCCCCGGTGCATACAGAGGTCGTTACGCTCTACCAAGTGTGTTAAGTGTGCAGTAGCTTTACATCTGCACACACTAATTACACAACACTAACAATCCTCAGACTTGGGAAACCGGTGCCAGAGGACCTTCTGTGCAGGGTTGCCGCAGCCTCCTTCATTCGGTAACCAACACAGCGTCCGCAGAGCACAATGCAAGGTCTGCCTGCATGTTTCCTACGTCAGGAGACCCACAGCATTCCAAGATAGGTCACTGATGATCACTGAGGGGCCGTCCACAAACACGATTTTATGTCACTGATGAGTGACTGCTGTTCCCTACCTACCATGGGCACAGCCGGTGAGGGAGGACTGCAGTCTTCAGAGCATCTTTTACTTCCAAATGACAGCTTGGTTGTGTCTGCAACTTCACCATTTGGCAGGATGCCATCTGCAAACCACACTCTCTTCTGTTCTCTGGAGCCCAGTCCTAGAATCAGGGGACAGTAAATCATTTCTGTGCGGCTGCACTGTACCAATGGGATGCTCAATGGCCAGGACATGTCTTCAAGAGTGTTTGTCTAGCCACTGGTAAGACCTGCATTCTCAGACTCAAAGGCCCAGAGAAAAGGCTTTTCATGATCTGTCATACTGAGCAGAGCCTTTTTCTGTGAGTTTCACGCACAGGAAGTATGCTGGCCAGGTGTGGCTGGGACCCCATCCTCTACCAGGACTGCACCAGAAGACCTGGGGAGACCTTAAGCCTACACCACAGAGGCTGAGAGGGGACCAAGGACTGAGGACTGAATAAAAGTTAGGACTAAGGCACAGGCTGAAAAGCAGACATGAGAACACTGGATAAACAAAAACACTGGAGAAAAAGTCTGAGAAAGGAAACAGGATCGTGTGTACATTCAAGAGGTGATTTATTTAACAGAGAAGTGATACTAGTTCTGTTCTTACAATGTGGATACAAAGCCTTATACATATGAAATAAGGTATCTTTCCTGCATTTGTAACATTTTTATAAATTAATTTAGGTTGTTGATACACTTTTTAGACACAAAATAATTCACCTTTTAGGGCTATAATACACAACCATGTATGTTGAATTCCTTATTTCATCTACAATGAAATTAGTTACTAAGTGATAAAGTCCAAAATAATTGCCAGGGGGCCCAAATCTACCTTATAGCTGATATTTATCATTATTTTCTAGCACACTACAGTCTTCAGTCCCCAGATGATGTTTAAATGGCTTTACTCAAATTTCTAAATGAGAAGCACTTGTTTAAAAAGAAAACAAAAAACTACCATATAACACAAAGATTTAAAAGTATTTAGAATTAAAGCACATTTTACTACTGTGCTAAAACAGATTAAAAATAAGTCAATACAAAAATTAAAAGAAATAAAACAAGTTTTCAAAGCACAGGAAGGGTATGTTCTAAAACCCTCATGCACCCTCTACACACTGCTCTGAGCCCAGGAAGGGTGGGTGCCGACCCTCCACCGGCTGCTGCCCTTGGTCAGGCCCTGCCCGCCAGTACCCTGCAGCAGGCACTGCAGGACACATGCGCACTCCCAGCACCACCATGACACCTTCTTGCGTTCAATCCCTGGATGGCTCCAGCACTGGCCACAGCTTTGGCCTTGAGATGCCCCCACTCCTGCTCCCAGGCCTGAGGGCCAAGCTCAAGCATCCTCCCTCTGCCCTTCCAGGCTCTACCCCAGGGACGGTGCTGCTCCTCTGTCACTCACCTCTGGGCACCTGAGCACACTCTCGGGCTCCTCTTGCCTCTGACACACATGCACTGATGCCCGGCACCAACTCCTCCCGAGTCTCAGGCTGCTTTCTCTGCCCTGCCTGGTCCCTGACAATCCCAGGCGCTTTCTATGTACACGCACTACCTGTTTCCTGTTACCTTCAGCGCTGGGCTGTCTCAGAGCCGAGGTGGGCAAAGCTGTCGGTGAAGGCACACTGGTTGGCTGGGTCTCCTGCAGGGGCGGGCCAGTGGCAGAGTCGCCAGGGTGATGAGCCTGAGGACCAGAGCCGGTGGGGCTCATCATCCTTTCGAAGGCCTGAGCTAGACAGGGGAAGAGCAGCATCAGAATCTCAGATGGCGTTGACCTTGAAGGCAAACTGTGACAAATACTGGATCTTACAGGAACCAGAACTGGCATGTGGCACAGACACTGTCTGAGTGACTAGCTCGGCACTGACAGTGGCTGGCAGTGCGGGGCTCTGACGGCCACCACGTGTCATTTCCAGGAACACTTGGCGCTCTAGGCCACTACAGAACAGGACGCGGTGTATGACATGTGCTTCTGCTGCAGACCCTGAAGGTCTGCTTCCTGCATGGCGCAGAGGGTCTTTCAGACACAAATCACTGTCTTGCGGGTGCTCAGTTTCAAATCCTTTAGCGGGGGTGGGGACACAGCTCAGAGGGAGGGCGCTGGCCTAGCGCACAGGAGACCCAGCACCGGAAAAAAGAAAGAGAAGAAAATCTTCGAATGGCTTCCTAAGGGGAGTGAAAAGTTGTTAAAACAGTCCATGAGACCAAGATGACCTGCATCCCTGTCTCCTGCTCCATCCCAGTGCTGGCTGACCTCTTCTTTACAACCCCACTTGCTCAACCCAGCCCTAAAACATCTCTGTGGAGCGCCTGCCCCGCTGAGGGCTCCTGACAGGCACCTGTGTACCTTCACTGCCTTCACTGCTCCCACGGAGCCCTGCGCCGCTGCCTTCCCACCAGGGCCACACGTCTGGCACCGGCCTCTTGCAGGTTAAGCTTCCTTCCAGGCCTTCCGCACTATCTGAGCACCTCTCCATCCACAAGCTTCAGGAGCAGGGACAGCACATGCAGGGAAGGCACCAAGGGACCCACATGCCCTCCATCTGGGTTCCAGTCATCTCCAGCTCGCCCAGTCCACCTAACGGTACTCACGTGCACAGTTCCTTAAAACTCGCGTCTCCTCACCTGCACTTCTTTGCGGCAATCTTCCCTGCCGTCCCTCCACTGTATCTCACAGCCCTGGAGTCACCTTTCTCATCACACAACACTATTCAGTCCATTTTCAACCAACAGAAATTAACTACAAATAGTCCCATAAACAAAACTTTAGCCTACAACAAAACTGAGTAAACAGAGCAAATACTGTAACTAAATAAACTCATTCCACAAGTCCTAAATAAACCAAAGTGTGGTATCAGTATACCGAATGTCTTTAATGACTATGCCTCCTCCCCTCTTGGACCTTATGGTCAGACTATGTCTTAATGCTCTCCAAAAATCTGACCTGTAAATTCAAATAATACATAAAATCTCTATCTTCATTTTTTGATCAGGGGAGAGAATTATGTGGGTGCTAGCTCTAAAATTCCTGAATTCACACATATTGCCTTGGCTAACGTATAGCAGGAGTCACTTTTGAGGCTACTGAACCAGATTAAGAACAAACGGAACACAGAGAAGCTGTTAACCTAACCTGTTCTTGAGCAACACCAGAGAAACAAAATGATTTACACTGTCATCTTCTGGAGCACGCATCAACACCAGAGAGGAAAGCAGCTCACCTCAGCCTAACACACTCACGTCAGAAATTTCTGGATAACTGATATAAAAAATTTATCTTCATTCAAAAGAAAAAAACCAGATTATTACCATGTATGCGTTCTGCTGACTAGCAGGAAGAAGTGCCTGAGATAATGCACAAGTCTGTTTAAAAAAGAAAAATCCCACGTAATATTTTCTGGGGATTAACTGTCAACAAACCTTTGAAGGTGTAAGAAGTACTTAAAAGAACATATTTAGGGGACAATACAACATAACACAAACACGTGCACAGTCTGTGAGAAGGCAAAGACCCCAGGACTACGGCTGACAATGGAAGCTAGACACGATGGACGTGACACAGGACACTAGCAGTGAGGAGGGACATAGCAGACAGACGTGTGCAGCAAGGCGGCAGGCCCATGAGCTTACAGAACCAGACGACAACAGCTGATCTTCTCTCAGTCTAGGAAATTCTAAAGGGTGGAACTAACATCTCGCCTCGTGCCATCGATATACAACACTGAGTACTGTTACTGGTGGGGATACCATAAATGCTTAGCTCATAGTGACGATGGTGACAATGACAGAAACAGACAGGCAGACGAGATGCAGCAGGAAGGACTTGGTACCTGTTAAAAGGTAATGCACTGCCACTCCAGAAACTGAATGCTTCCTTTGCAGACTGGTAGTGTTAATTGTGAGAGTGGAACAAAAAGAAGAGAAACCAAGCCTTGGGTCCCACCTAAGCCAGATAAGTCAACACTAGGTCCTTGCCTTGAGGAAATAGAGAAGTTCATCTTTGTCACAATCCAGTCGTTTGTAAGACATATTCAATTACGGGATGAAAACAGGCAAGTGAATACTCACCTCTGTTAATCGTCTCATAGCAGATTACACACACTCTCGCTTCCTTTTCTAGATATGGCAGCTTACACTTTCTGTTACAACAGACACCACAAAATACCTACAGAGAATGAAATACCAAATTTTTGTTTGTTTCAAGCATCCTACTTGAAACATACTTGAGACCCCAAACCTTTTTAACCAAAGCCCATTCTTGATGATTTACAGTGGAGCCTCTGTTTGCAAACACTTTTGTTTGCAAACAATCTGGTTCTCAAACAGAAGCATTTGGCAAAACTTTGCATCAGGTGATGAACAAGACTAGCCATCTTCCCCACATAAACACACACATGGCCATCTTTCCTAGTCGTGGAACAAATTAAGTTTGTGAGCCAAGGCACCATCTTATTTTTCCAATCACCATCCTAAGTAAAAGTCTTAAATGATTTTTTAATTTAAATGTGATTCTGTAATTTGTATCTGATAACAATTTCTTTAATTCTGTTCAGTAAAAAGAGAATAAAAACTTCCAGTGTATAAGTTTAATAAAGTTTTCTGTAGTTCTTACTTAGAGCCTTTACAAGTAGATTATTGTTTTGCTAAAGATGAGAAGGATGATCAGTAGCCAATACCTTAGTGAAAACCGCTAAACAGAAAGTGCATCCTATTCCTTGGGCCCTTTCCTTAGTTACAGCCTCTGCACTGCGGAATGCTTCAAGGCGTGGAATGCCAGGCTGGCTCCACCCACTGCTCAGTGTTTTCCCAGAGTGCCCTTAAACTAGTTGTTCAAAGACAAGGACAAGGCACTGAGTTCACAGCGTGTGCTGTGCCAGTATTAGAGATAAGGATGGCATTCTTAGCGCTCACAGAGCAGAAGTGTGCCTCACAGATGATACCCGTGATAACAGGACATTTACTCAGTGATCAGGTAATTTGCGAAGTGGGCGTCCTTTACTGATGACTATGAGGTGAAAAGCAATGACTTTAGACACAATCACGTAGCCTTGTTTATCAGCCTTTCCTGTCACTAGATTTCATTAAAAAAGCCTTACAGAATAAAAAGCACTGGGCTGAGGACAGACCTCAGGCGTGGAGTACTTGTGCACTATAGTCATGTGAAGCCCTGGGCCTGACTCTTAGCACCCAGAAGAAAAGATGAAGATTTCTGTAACTCACTTTCCCACATGCTCGGCAGTGGTGTCGCCGTTTTGTAAAAGTAAATTTGACCTGGCAATTCATACAGTTTGGAGCTTCTGAATCAGGAACCCAGTTAGGCTGTTTCTGACCCAAAACCAAGCCTTCTTTGCAAGTGTTTTCAGGCAGCAAATCTTCATTTGCAGTTGGAAGGCTGGACCTGCCTTCAAAATTGCTTTCTATATCAATGTAGTTAGAGTTGAAGCTGGCCTGAGCATCAGCTGTAGAGTTGGGAGGACACGGAGGTGGCATGACGGCATCTGCTAAGCAGGGTCCACCTTCTGGAGCACTTGGAACATCTGGCTGACTCTGTTCGTCTGAAACCCTTGCTCGTGACGCAAGGTTAATGAGCTGCTTGGGTCTAGCCCCTCCAACAGGCACAGGCCGGCTGCTAACATCAGAGACCGGTAGCTCACTCGGCATCTCAGGTGTGCAGCTAAGGGACCCTGGTTCAATGGGAACTGTGCTTCTTTCCTGTGCACAAAGGACACTGTTTTCTATTGTATTTTGTTTATCACTTGTTTCACAAATCATTTTAATACCATCACTTTCCCCGGTGGCTCCTGCTTCAGCTTTGAAATAAATATCGTCCACATTTCCAGCACTGAGGCCTTTCATATCTATCTGATTCATAGGAGATTTTGAGTCATTTACATTTTCTTCAAAAGACGTTAAGTTAGAGGTCTGAAGGTACTGTTCTGTCAAGAAGGCATCCAGCTCAGCATCACTAACGAGTGAGCCGCTCTTCATGCCTTCGTCAATATTGAAGTAGTCTAAGTCATGCCCGTCCATGTCACTGCCTACGAAAGTGAGACCCGTACAACCAGCCTGACAGCCTGGGGCATCAGCACCCAAGAGCTCCAGCTGGGGCCCTGCAGCTGTGGAGGAACCGGTGGGACCAGGGGCACCCAAAGCCTCAGCTCCGATTCCCGTCTGCTCAGGTTCTTCCTTTCCTTCTCCCGTCTCCTCATGTTCTGGCTGAAGAAGTGTACTTTTGCATTTTCCCTCTTTCATAAGATCAGTTTGCCTGAATGGCTCCCTGTCTAGAACAGCGCTCTTCTGCGCTTCTTCATGCACCACCCCTGTATGTTGTATATGATCCTTGGGTTCCTGAGGTAAGCAATCACCATGTGCTTTACTGTCAAGGAACGAGCTGCACAAAGAGCCAGGTACTGGAAGACAGGACAACGAGGAGGGTGCATCTTCACCGGAAACACGGAGAGCTGTTGGGGAATCATGGATTGCATCATTATTAACTTCAAGGTCTAAATTTCTTGAGTCTTCTTTTGCAGACTGTTTTATAAACACAGCAGTTCTATCTTCCTGAGAGGAAAAGTCAGGCAATTTGAAATTTTTACCTCTTGAGTCTGAGTCACTTAGGCACAAACTTTCACTTTTTGGAAGACTTTTGCAAGGCAAAGCACTTGCACTGCCTCCTTCTTTTAAAGATTCAGTGACAGCTGCAACCATCATATCTACTTCTTCTTTCACCAAATCTATTTCCTGTTTCACCAAACAGCCATCATCTTTTAGTAATTCACCCGGTGGGTGTTTGTGTTGTAGTTTATCTTTGGAATCACAAACTCTGGAGCTCTGCTGAGTCAAAACAGAGGTAATGTTAGAGTCCACAACTGGGTCTGACTGACCAGAGATCTTTCCATCATTTACATTTTCTGTTCCATCATATTGACAAGCATCTGAAAGTGTGGTTTCTACTTTTATACCCGATTCTTTGGCACCACCAATTTCTCTGTTCTGTAAGTCAGAGCGCATATCACTCTGTCCTGTGACAGGACCATTCCCATGGTCTGGTGATGGGACAGAGGCACCATCTGAAACTGCAGAGGAACCCAATCCAGTGAGAGAATCTGCACTAGATTTGAAGTCATCTGGCAGTAATTTTTTAATATCTTCTTCACTGTTAGCTGCATGAACCAAGCTACCCATGTCACTTATCAGGTCACAGACGGGTTTACTACATCTCATGTATAAAGGCTGGCTGCCATCTGAAGTCCCACCATCCACGGAAGAAAGGAGATCCAGTCCTGTTACATTTTTCTCATTTTGTAGAGAAGTTAGCCCCTGGAGTGCTTTTTCACTGAAGGAAACCTCATTTGCTTCATAGCATGTTTCTGAGGAGGCATAACCACTAGCACATTGCCAGTCCTTTGGTAGCAGTGAAGGTGGCTGTGAAGGAGCCAACTCTGAAGGAACTGAACGGTTGTTAGAATCATATGCATTCTGAACACCTTGGCAATAATCTTGTTCATCTAATTGAAAACAGAGACACAAAGTTATTCAAGAGACTCAAATCAAAAATTATTAAGACAGTATATTTTCTAAGACTTCTAAATTAAATAGACTGTTTTTGGCTTTATAGTACTGATTGTCTGCTTTTTACTCTTGAATATGGATGTCATAAAATGGTAGAATTCCATTTATGACTCAGTTATACTATAAATCTAGTCTAAAGAAGAGCTGACAATCAACCTTCTTTGTTCTGCTCCGTTTCCTTGCCTTTACTCTAGGAAAATGTCACCTCTCAAACTCAACTTGTGCCCTGCTTTCAAGTTACTTTTAGCATGCTCATGTATCACTTCTAGTTCCCTGACTTCTGTTGCTGGTTACTTGCTCCATTTGGCATGAGAATACACTAATATGTCTTATATAACAAAACGGGAACTTTTTTCAGACAATAACAATGTGACCAAAATGGAAATCATATTTTTCCAAGAGCACTCTATACCTGAGATTAAGTAAATTACAGACATTTAAAAATCCTGGTAGAGGCAAAAGAGGAAACCAGCAAACCTGGGTTCTGTTCAAAGTCATCAAGGAGTTTGTCCAAGTCACTGACAGCTGCTTTAAAATAACTGTCCATCTTACCGCTAGAACTTAATTCTTGTATGTCTGGAAAATAAAAAGTATATTGTGCTTAATTCTCTAAAATATAAATGTTGTGTCATCTATTATTCTATGCTAGGAAACATAGGAAAATGAAACAAAAATTACATCTAATAGCACTTATTTGTGTAGTCTACAATTTAGGCAGAAGAATACTATGCATGGAAAACTCTTAACATTTCCATGCGCAAGCTATTATGGATCTCAAAGCACTTATCTAAATAATTCATGGGTCAAAGAATTCACAATGAAAAGCTAAAACACTTAAAAATACCACATGTAGGGCCAGGGATTTAGCTAAGTGGTTCCACTTCCTGCCTCACAAGCACCAAGGACCCAAGTTTGATCCCCGGTGCCAAACAAAACAAAACAAAACAACCACATGTAAAATAATATAAAACATACTACATACAAATAAAAATACTACATAGAAAACAAATTTTTATGAAAAGGAGAATAAAGTGGATGAACCTTTAGCCTGAGACACTCTACAACAATCTCTCAGTGAGAATAGGATAACCTCCAAAAGACAAAGAAGCCAGGCTAAAAGGATTCTCACCAGCCCCAACAGGACAAATGAATATCAAACTAACAAAGACCACAAAAGACTGAAAATAAATCAATCAGATTTTAAAGACCCAAGAGACTGTAAGGACACTAAAATAAAAAACAAAACACTGTTTATTAGAGGATTGCTAGGGCACCAACCTATAAGTCTAAAAGTTATTAATTATGAGGCAAGGTCTGCCCTGCCCTTTACAAAACACACCAGGCTATAAAATAATTGTGATCTGTGTGTGTGTGTGTGTGTGTGTGTCCCTGTCCCCGCCACCCCTTGCTAAGTTGCCCAGGGTGGATAAGCGTCCTGTTAATAATGGCTAAAGGATGCCAAAATTTTTTGTTTTTTTGTTTGTTTTGTTTTGCTTGGTACTGGGGATTGAACTCCTAACCTTGTATCTTTGAGGCATGGGCGGTACCACTGAGCTAAATCCTAGCCCCTAAGGGATGCAAAAATTTTAAAACTTGTTTCTTCATCATCCCTGATGCAATTAATGGAGTAGGAAATTAAAGCTGTCAGAGGGTGAGGCCAACACGAGCTTCATTCAATGAAGCACAGAGCAGGTCAGCTTGGCTGAGCCAGTGACAGGTTTCCCATAAACAAACATTTAAGAGCACCACCACAGAAAACATTCCTGCCTACACTGACCTGAGTCTAATCAAAATTGCAAAACTAACTGCATGTCTGCAGGAAATTCAAGCACAGATGGACATGTAAAATGACCAATAAAAGAAAATGACTGGTTACATTAAACCAGAAGGTGGAAAACTCCACAGCACTGTTCTTCATTCTGTCTAGAGAAAATGACTAGAGTTTTTGCTTTGTTTAGACTTCCAATCTGTTACAAACTGTTATTTTTATAAAAACACAATAAAACAATATAACTGTGTAAAAGCAAGTACAAAGAAAAGACACACATTACTGAATGGTTACCTGGAGTGGAGGACAGGGAAAGGGGACAAATGACAACCAAAAAATGACAGGCATTTAAGAGAACCAATCATGCCTGAAAAAGAGGTGGGAGGGAGGGCAGAGGGAGGAAAGACAGAAACAGGGATTTACACACAGGTTAAAAAGATCAGAGCTCAAGAGAGAATGGAACCAATTGGAGACCTACTGAAGAAACTACCCAAAATGAAGAAATAAACAGGAAAAAGTTAAGACATGGGCAACAGAACAAGAATGGAGTCCCCCAGGGAGAACAGAGAGCAGCAACAACTGTATTTGAAAGACTATGCACATTTTCCAGAACTGATGAAAAGACACAGCTAACACATTATACCAAACAAAAGAAAGAAAAATGCACACTGAGACACACTATGGTGAAGCTACTGAACCCCAAACAGAGAGCAGGCAGTGAGAAAAGATCATTTCAAAGGAGCAGTGACAATGCAGGCAGTGAATGTGAAGCAACAGGTACCCTTCAGGGGTGTTCTGGCCAACAAGACATGGCACCCTCACACTGGGAGCGACGCTCTGTAGATCACTACAGCCAGGCCTAACTGGCCTCCTCCCGCCGAGGGCGTGGTGGAGCAAGGCCTGTCGTCCTTCACACCCATTCACCAAAGAAACGTCAAGCTTTGTCTCCTGCAGACCCTAGCCATTCTCTGTTCCAATCAGGCCTCCCCTTTGGTTTCCTTATCTACACCATAAATAAAGACGCTGAGGATCAAGCCAAGCTTTTTGTCTCATCAGGACAAAGAGTTTCCACCTGGCCTTGGCCAAATAAACTTTACTGTGGTCTTTGTCTTCTCCTTTAAATCTCATTCGGGGTTCATTGCCTCTCACTCCGAGAACCCTTCCGCCACGCAGGCCGCAGCACCCTCATTCAGGGGAGCACAGCCCTTCATTTCCACTGAGTTGTAGTTATACCACACATATGCAACAGCACATAAAACACAGACACCAGAAAAGAAGGTACGAAAAGAGACAATGTAGGAAGCAGAATAAAATTTTCAGAATATTTCAGAGAAAAGAAAGAAATGGTGAAGCAAGACTCCAGAAGCAGACCTATCAAATAAGGTAAATTTCTCTTTCCCAAAGATGCTAATGCATTTTAATAAAGAAAAGGTGGTCCCTTCAACAAGAGATGCTAAACCGGGCATGGTGGCTCACACCTGTAATCCTAGAACTTGGGAGGCTGAGGCAGGAGGATCACTGTGAGTTCGAGACCAGCCTGGACTATACAGTGAGTTCTAGGTCAGTCTCAACTACATAGTGAGACCCTGTCTCAACCCCCTTCCCCAAAAACACAACAAAAAAAAGAGATGCTGAAAAAAAAGCTGGGATCCCTGTGTAAAAAAATATAAATCTCAATACAGACCTTATACCTTATATACCGACTCAAAATGGATGAGATCTAAACATAAAATGCAAAATTGTAAAACTTCTGAAAAAAAACAGGAGAAAATCTACAAAACCTTAGGTTTGGTGATGAGGTTTTCAATACAACACCAACACCATAAACCAGTGGTGGTGAATCTATGGCACACGTTACTGTATTTTTCTTTTAAGACAAAAGATGTTAATGTACAGGTTTTTTTTTAAAACTGAAACTTCAATATTTAGGTTTAACTGCAGTGCTGGCACTTTGTGATGAATAAATAGGTTTGGGGTTGTAGTTTGAGCTGTCTCTAAGATTGGCCATCACTGGCATAAACCATGACAAAAGAGCTGGTATATAATATTGTAACCAACTGCTCTGTGAAGACACTGTTGAGAGGCTAAGAAGACAAGCCACAGACTGTAAGACATTCACAAAACATATGCACAATACAGGACTTGTATCCAAAATTTAGAAAGAACTAAAATTCGACAATAGGAAACCCAAACTGCACAAGGGACTGAGGTGACCTCCACCAGGAGCACTCCATTAGACCCTGGGTCTGAGTCCGAGCATGGGTGAAGAAAAAAAGGAAAGTTCTGAAAAGACATATCCCCGGAACAGAGATGGCAAACAAGAATATGAAAAATGCTCAAATCACTTATCTTTGGGGAACTGCAGATTAAACAAGGAGCTACTTCACGCCTATTAGAATATCTAAAATCCCTCAAAATGACAATACCGAAAGCTGCCAGGATGATGAACAACAGAAAACTTATTTACTGCTGGTGGGAATGCAAAATGGTTTAGCACTTTGGAAAACGGTCTGGCAGTCTCTTATAAAACGAAATAGTCTTACTATACAACCCAGTTCCCAAGCTACTAGGTATTTACCCACTTGATTTGAAAGTTTATATAATATGATAATCTGGAGCAGAATGTGGGTATGGGAACAGAGAAGGCCTATTAGGGGAAAACTGAGGAAACATGAACAAAGCACGGTGATTAGAAAATTAGAGAATACAGTGATATCCTGAGATGTGACACTCAAACGAGAGGTCCAGAAAGAAGGGATGGGGCTGCACACGCAGGAGAGGTCCAAGGAGCTCAGGAGAGGAGCTAGAAATCAGGAGAGAAACTGAGACAGGTACAGACCTGGAAACGGGCAACATGTGGTTGCAACAGATGAGCTCACCTAGGAGAACAGAGAGGAGCCCAGCACGAGTGGACTAAAGATCACAATCCATGTTAACAAAGCCACTCTGGGGCTGCAGAGAGAGCTCAGTGGTAAAACACCTGCCCAGCCCCACAAAAGCAAAGTCAAAGCAACAAAACTCTGCCCAGTCTGACATATACTTCTACAGAAAAATATCCAATGAATTTTACGCACTGAATAAGTGCAATGTTAACAACAGTATTAGGAAAGGCACAGGGAAAAACATGGAAGAACAAAATAAACTGTTAATGATGTTATATACCTGAGGAGTATGCAAGTCTCTCAAAGGTACTTGTACATCTTTTTTTTTTTTTTTTTTTTTTTGGTACCGGGGATTGAACTCGGGTCCTTGCGCTTGCAAGGCAGGCCACTGAACCGCTGAGCTAAATCCCCGGCCCATGTACATCTTTATATTGTCCTCCTTTTACAAACAAGCATATGTTTTTGTAAACTGGAAAAATAACTTTATTCTCTTCCTTAAAGCATGTCTCCTTAAAACACAGAAGATAATAAAAACCAGTAACATCTAGTAAGATCATGTAAAACTGTTCAATGCACAATGGTTGTCTACTACGTCGAAAGGTAAAGTTTTTGCTTTTTAATAAAACTACTCAATGTTGGCAAGGATGTGATTTTTTTAAAGGCTTCTCAAAACAACAGAAAATAAACTGATTGATACAACTTCTTACATTGAAAACAATGTGACAGTATGTCTTAAAGAGATTCCTAATGTTTGCTCTAGTAATTCTTTTCGGAAATTTAAGAAAATAATTCAAAACCACTGAAAATACGCATACAAAGGTATTTCACCAAATCATTAGCTAAAAAAAATCTAAATAGCAACATTGGGACACAACAGAAAATTACACAGGCACCAAAAGTAGCCTTTGTGTCTACTGTCTATC